AAGAGGCCACGATCAAGCGTGTTATGCCCTCTGAGAAAGTTCGCCTGCAGCAGCTTTTCAAGGATCTGCAGCTGGGCAACAAACTGCCCTCAACCCAGCTACGTGAGATTCAGCAACTCCTTGGTTCCTCAACCATGGATGAGACTTTACTTCGCGAACTATGGCTACAACGGCTACCGGAAAACACACAAGCGGTTCTCGCTACAGTGAGCTCCGTTTCGCTCACTCAACTAGCAGATTTAGCGGATCGAGTTATTGAGCGATCACAGCTACAAGCCGACGCCAGCAAGATCAATGCCGTCGCGTCCCAGGGCACTTCTATCACTGGCTTGCAGTCAACTATAGAAGCCCTCCAAACACAAGTTGCGACACGTAATCGCCAGGTGCAACAGCTTACTATGAACCCTCGTCGTCATAGCCGATCAAAATCGCCCTGCAAACGTTCTAAGTCTAGAAACAGGCAAGCTAGCTGTTGGTTCCATCAGCGTTTTGGTACCGCAGCTCGTAAATGTGGTAAGCTTTGCTACTTCGCCGAGCAGCAGGGAAACTGCTCGGCCGGTCCGTAACGGCGACGGACGCGACCGACCAATACCAAAGTCACCTCATTCGCGTTAGGGATTTAAGTTCCGGCACCGAGTTTTTAGTCGACACTGGTGCCGAAGTTAGCGTCATACCCCGTAGCTCAGATGAGGTCGTCTCACCATCGCCGAACAAGCTGCGTGCCGCCAATGGCACACCAATCGCAACTTTCGGCGAAAAGCTGCTAACGCTCAATTTAGGCGTCCGACGAACCTTTCGCTGGCCTTACATAATCGCTGCCATGCCTTTCGCCATCATAGGCATAGACTTTCTTCAACGCTTCGACCTCATCGTCGACGCTAAAAGGAAGAAGCTTATCGATTCCGGGACACAGCTCAGTATTATCGGGACCAGCGCCAACGTGGCTGCTATCACTCCCATTCGTGTCCTACCTCAAGCTTCACAGTCTTTTCTAGAACTTTTCAACAAGCATCCTAAACTCGTTCGCGTCCTGAACGACTTACCTCCTGTGACGTCAAACGTCATGCATCACATCTGCACTAAGGGCCCACCTGTTTCGGCCCGCCCTCGCCGACTAGCCCCGGACAAGCTCAAAGCTGCTAAGGCGGAATTCGAGCAAATGTTCGAAATGGGAATAATCCGCCCATCCAAAAGTCCATGGGCATCACCATTACACATTGTGCCTAAGAAATCCGGTGACTGGCGCCCCTGTGGTGACTACAGGGCACTTAACAAAGTTACCGTCCCGGATAAATACCCTATCCCGCACATGCACGACTTGACCTCAGCTCTAGCTGGCAAGTCTATCTTCAGCAAAGTCGACTTAGTTCGTGCCTACCACTAGATACCTGTCGCGCCAGATGACATTGCTAAAACAGCAGTCATCACGCCATTCGGCCTATTCGAGTACCTCAGAATGCCTTTCGGCCTCAGCAACGCTGCCCAAACTTTTCAGCGTTCCATTCATGAGGTAACGCGAGGACTCGAAGGCGTTTATCCTTATCTAGATGACATTCTTATCGCCAGCTCTTCTGATGAAGAACATCTTCATTACCTCGACGCTCTCTTCCAACGCTTAACACAGCATGGGGTTACCGTCAACCCCGATAAATGCGAGCTTGGCCAAAGTTCCATCGACTTTCTTGGCCACCGCATATCCGCGTCTGGTACTGAAGCTCTGCCAGACAAAATCCAGGCACTGAAGGACTATCCTGCTCCCAGTTCCTTCAAGCAGTTACGCCGATTCCTTGGCCTGGTTAACTATTATAGGCGCTTTATTCCTAACTGCGCGAGCATTGTCCAACCAATGACTGACTTGCTCCGCGGTAGACAACGGTCTTTTCATTTTACAGACGACGCTAGACTGTCTTTTGAGAAGCTCAAAGACGCTATCTCCAACATAGCGCTTCTCGCCCATCCAGACACGTCTGCACCACTCTCCCTGACGACTGACGCATCCGACACTGCCATCGGTGCAGTCCTTCAACAACTCATCGACGGATACCTCTAGGTTTCTTCTCGAAACGTTTACAACCTACCGAATCGCGTTACAGCACCTTCGGTACGAAACTGTTAGCTATCTACCTAGGTATCAGACATTTTCGTCACTATCTCAAAGGTCGCCATTTTACAGTCTTCACTGACCACAAGCCATTGATCTATGCAATCAATGGCACAACGGACAAGTATTCTCCGCGGGAAGCTAGACACCTAGACTACGTTTCTCAGTTTATGACAGACGTACGACATGTCTCAGGTGCTCTCAATCCCGTTGTGGATGCGTTTTCACGCATTCAGCAGATCAGCTTATCGCCTGGCACCCACATTGATCTAGCCGCTATGGCTCCTGCCCAACAAGCTGATCCCGACATAGGCAAGCTACGACGCAACACCACTGAGACGATCACCATTGATCGACTCAAGCCAGCATTTCTCGACAACGCTGACTCTTCGGTGCAGCAAGCACATGCACCGCCTGTGACACCACAGCTCGCAGCGCAACCTCAGACGAGTCAGCCTGGTCCAGCAGAACCGACAACCTCAACCGACAGCACTCCTACTCGCCCTACTATCAATCGACGCGGTAGGAAGCTCAAACCTCCAGTTCGTTTTTCGGACTTCGTTCGCACTTACTATTTTACATAGAACGTGCCTCTGAAATTTTCTGCTCTTACCAAACGTTTTTGAAAATACACAAAAAAGACCAAAACGTTTTGAAACTACTAGAAAAGAGCAAAATCTTTTGAAAACCAAAAGAAGCTTTGCACGTTTTTCGCTTTACGCACCTTTGTGTATTGCTTTGCATTTATGCTGCTTTTTCATTTTGCTTTCCATGTACACCTCGTCGGTTGGCTGCCCCTCGGTTTCACTTTCTGCTGGATCTACGCACGTCAATTGGAACTGGAACGAACTTCCTGCTCAACCGCCTACGTGAACTTTGCTAACTGTCCCCCTACAAACAGTTTCTTTTACCGTTTCGACACCGTATGGAGGACACGGGTGGGAGCCCGCTAGGGTCCGATTGCATGGTTCTCTCCCAGCAGCTGCATCAGGTTTCACAACCTGGTCTCGCAGAAGGCTGACCCGCAACGGACAGTCCTCACGTAGATCGAAGGACTGCTTACACAGTCCCTTCTGGAAGAGGGCTATGTAGCAGTCTGGAGATTCCCCGGTTTGCCTGTGTAAAATTCTAACCAAAATTCTATAATTGTACACCTAGGTAACCGGTGTGGTTTGTTGAACGGATTGCTGAGTTCAAATGCTTGACTTGCTCATCGCTATTTTTGCTTGGCGCTCGTTTCGGTTGCATCTCGCGACTGCCCTGTGCGCCGTGTTTGCTCCATTCCCCTAGCTAGAGCGTCCACGGTGTCGTTCTTTTATAGCTAGATAACAGGGAATCTTTTACTGTACCAATAAAAGTTTCCCTGCAACTCGATCCGTCTTCTCGAATTGCTCTCTGGGCTCCTGGTACAGGCGACCCTCTAAAAGTTAACATTAAATGATGATGACGATACCTCAGTATCACGGGAGAATCCACGGGCCGCTACAATACTACGTAATCCAGAATAAAACTTGCGACCGAAATTACTACCCTTAAGTGACCGATAAGCTCCTTGAGTGAATGTTTGTTGTGCCTTTGGGACAAATTATGGTTAATCCAAAGAAATTTGAAGCGCTGCTTTATCACTTTTCATAAATGAAATTTTCCTGAAAGCATACGTCCCACGCGTTTAACTGCAAGCTTTTCCCTATTCATCATAATGCAGTACTGAAGTACTGAGGACAGACCAAACTTTCTGAGTGATAAAAATAGTCAAAAATTGACCTTAATGAAACGGCCATGGTTAAACGTGGTCAGTCAGCGGCATCACGTCGGTAAATAGCTCTGAATAGATGTACAATGTTATTAAAAACAAAAAGATTATAAACAAAGTCGGCTTATTTTAGCATGCGTCTTAATATTTATTGGCATACTTTGACACAGTACACAATTAAAATGCTTCCATCTTTTTGTATGCAAGTAGCTGCAAACACGCCCTGTAGCAGTCTGGAGATTTTCTGTTTGCCTGTGCAAATTACTAAAAAAAGCACTGACATTGTACACTTAGGCGACCAATTGCAACGGTTGAACTGGTTGAGGTGTTGCAATGTATGCTACGATATTTGTCACTGAGTTACGTGACCTGTCTTTTTCGCTACGTCTTCGACATTGGAATCTGTTTTCCCTGGATTACCTTCGCCGTCGAGGGGATTTGACTTTTACCCGACGAACTATCAGGGGAAAGCTAGCGAGAAAGTAGCGGGGAATTCTTCCACCTCAACGTTGGGAGTTCGACTAGAGGCCACCGATGAATAATATTTAAACCAAGAAGGCTCAAAGTACGGTCTATTCTTGCTTTACCCACTCGCGTTGTGAATGAATGGAAACGGTTACCGCGACACGTCACTGATGCTCAGACAAAAGATTACTTTAAACGACTATTTGATTCCCAATTATTGAATATGCCAGGATCGTGTTGTTTCAGCTACGAGTGTGACGGCCTGTCCGGAGTTTCCGTTGAGCAATGACACGAGCAATGACCGGAAAGCCATGGAGCTGACAAGAGATCCTTCCACTGCTCTCTATTACCCAATGAACGAATGAACAATGAATGAACCGCAGCTTTTTGGCGCTCGGTTCGAATGTGAAGCGCGATCGTTTGCTGTGCTGCGCCCTTTTCGTTCTTTATAGCTGGCAGCGTCATTTGTAATAGATAGGCCGACAGGAACCTTTCAGTGACCAATATTTTGGAATCATTTTCCGGGTTTCCGCTAAAGCCCAGGTATCTGGGGCAGCCGTCCACCTGAGGACAGAAATAATGCGCTAAAGAAATTAGCAACGTACCCGGTTAAACTACAAAGTTTCAGAATAAATAGAATAAAAACAGAAAATACGACAAAATATTGTTTCGCTAACATACCCGATAAAATGCAGCCAACATGACTTCTGGAAAGATGTTCATGCGGTGAAAAACATTAATAAGATTAGGACTTTCTGTCTTATTATCCTTAGTAAAGCCATAAAGTGCTAGAGTTATGTAGGAATTAATAAGAGCCTAACCCTTCAAAAACGTTTTTGTTCCGACGAGAGCTTTGTAATAAGAGTAATATAATCCTTGTTCAGTACGATAAGAAATCTCCTTTTCTGTTATCGAAATGTTCGACCACCACAGATCGACTTCCCTTTGTTCCAAAATGGTATACGAGTAGATGCAACCAGCAACCAATGCACTAACGTAGGCAGTCGCGCAACTCCAAAACGCCATACCGCGCAGCGAAATGTAAAGTGTTTTAAAAGGTTGCGCAATTGATCTAGGACAGACATTAACAAAACAAATTTGCACAGTATATATTATCTTTATTAATAAATTTTGTACCAACATTGGTTAGCTGTTTAATAAGGTTCCAAACTTAATAGTACTCCTAACGTTTTTTTACCCCCGGCCTCCAAGAGTCATATTTCATTCCACAATTTCCCGCCAACAGTTTCGACAACACAAGGGTAACCAATATTTCTCTAGAATGATCTAAATTCAATGTATTCTATATACGCTAGACTAGCTGGTAAACGTTTTGACCCGACAAATTGATCCAAAAAACAAAATTTTGCTTTCACAGCCAGGGATCGCGAAAGGTTAGTAGTCGGCGCATTAGTGCATAGGCTATGATTTATTATTTTAATGTACTTCGGTTTATCCAGTAAACTAGTGCTACATGTGCTGTTGGTTATGGGAAGCTTATAAGATTCGGTGGGCTATATTGTTCAAAACTCTAATGCCCTTGTCAACCGTGGAGAGCCGCAAGTCTGGCATGCTCATCGGTACTATATTTCAAGTAAGCGGCATTTTCCAATATGCTGCATCTAGCTAAAGTCCATCTATCCCTGCCCACTGTTCTTAAAGTATAAGATGGCACTGTTCAGCAGATATGCCTTGGACCAATTGTTCCCTAGCTAAGCATGATGCCGTTGTAAGCCGTCTTTCACGCAGGTGGCAAATGGATGCTAACAGTTAGGATCCTTTTTATCAACGTTGCGCATAACTTCACAGCTTTGCACTGTATTGACTTCAAAACTTGTTCATATAATGAGTACTTGCCGTTTATCGCATTTAACATGCGTCCTGAATAAGAAACCACGATGGCCACAATAATATATTGAAAAAGCTCAGCTTCCAAGATATTCGCATTGATGCACATGGTTAACCCACATATAGTTATCATGCGAATCACTCTCTTAAGCTGTTAGTCTGCGATTCGAAATATTTTACAACCAACGGCTTTCGGCACGCTTTTCGAAGGGTGTTACGAAGTTAACTTCCTACCAAATAAAATGACTGATAAGGTACGAACCAGTTAATGCTAATTCATTAGAGCTTCGCAAACCCCAACGTCACGTCTAGTAGCAGCGCTGCTTCTGGACTGTTAACTTCCACTATCTTCACCGCGTAACTATACACTCGTTCGAAGCAACTTAGCGTACCCGGTTAAATTAAACCGTTTTAGTAAATAATGCATTTCTGATTTTACGTTGGAACATGGAGTTGCATGTGAAAAGCTCTGGCGAATGACCTCACACTTATGGAGGAAAAAATAGGCCCGGTTCATATGGAAGAGTCAGGCAACGGTATTTCGGGTTGGTTCTGCGCGATAACCGTATCTTCTTAGGGTCTAGGTGGCATTTGAGCGGAATGTACGCCTGTTCGATCGTAGCACTCCACTACGCCCTCTGAAATAGCTAAGGAAAGAAGGGTAGGTTAAAGGAGAAGGGCACCAGCACCATGTTATTAGTGAGTGTTAGGGGTAGAGGAGCATGCTGATACGCCTGGCGAAAAACGGTAGAGAGCTGACTTGGGCTAGTCTGCGGTAGGGCGTTCCAAAACGAACGTAGTTGTCTCACTGGAGATCATGATAGAGTTCAGTAAGCTGCCGGTCCAGGCAACGCTGGTAATCATCCACAGAAGCTGACGAGGTTAGCTCCGCAAGCAGGGCGTTCCAAGATTGACAGAGTCGCAAACCGAAGTAGTGTCGTCTACAGTTCACTTGGCATTGCTGATGTGGTAGCCGGAGGGGGTGACCACGAAGATAGCAATACGAGAGTTGTAAATTTTTTAAGTGGCGGCACGTGTGTCCAGGGACGGAGTCGCCCCGAATCCGTCGGCACTGCATAGAGAAGGGACCAAGGCGCCGAAGCGGTCGTAGCTTATCCGAGTGTCTGCGTGCAGGTACTAATTTTGTCGCACGTCTTTGAGGGACTTTAAGAAAACGCTGGTCTCGGATCAAACAAGTGCTCCAAGCCTGAATAGTAAACCCAGTAAGGACCCAGGAAGGCGATTAAGTGGAGGCGGAAATGCCAAAGGTTAAATTAGCCGAAGGCAGGTTTTCACGGTCCCAGCATGCGGGCAGTAGCAGAGACTGCTTCTTGACAGGATGCAGATAATAAACTGTTGTTTTGCGTGATGATACCCATATCTCTTTCAACTGAAGTGGCCCGGAGAACAGACTCTCCTAAGAATTATATCGATAAAGCGGAAGGGCCGGAGAGAGGACTCGCCATTTCGAAGAGTGTAAACAGTGGTTGTTTTCCAGGAACCACTTTTGCACACGTTTGCGTTCTCTCAGAGGTGCGTGGGCATCGGCTGGAGCATTGATCGTGCGCCACCGCTTCGCGGCGTTGGCATAGAGCACCATCGAAGACACGACTTGTGTTTTGAGATCATCGATGAAGGATAGAAAACTTTGCGGCCCAAGAACAGGGGCCTGTGCAACTCCACTTATTACAGGGATACGGACGAACAGTACTATGCCGACGCGTACTTGTACCGTACAGTGTTAGACGTAGTTACGGCTCCAGTCCTTTAAGGCCCCAAATATAACGCAGTACGATTGTTCATGAATTAGGATGGCACGGTCGACATTGTAAAATGCCTTAGAGAAATCTAAGAAGCTGACTTACGTTTCCAGACGGGGGACAGCCGCGAGCTCCCAGCTATCACGTGCAAGCAGCAGGCTACTTGGGCATGAGGGTTGTTATCGAACCCGTGCTTGTAGAAAGAAAGCAGTTTCTGAGTCTCCAGGTGGTCCATTAAAGCATCGACGATGATTGATTCTATCAGTTTGGAAATCGTAGAGCGGAGCGTTATCTGTTGTTAGTTGCTAGTGTCCTTACGCTTCCGCCTTTGTAGTATGGCCTAATTGTACTGCGTTTGCAAACATTGGGGACTTCACCATGCGAGAAGAATTGGGCGTACTGCTCCGCTAGAGGTGAAGCTAGCGCTACGGTTCACGTTCGCAGGAGCCTTGGGTGGAAACCGATGGCACCTGGCGAGGCTATTGGTCGCTGGGATATATAGTCAGCTAATTATTTATTCTTGACACATCGGAGCACACCGTTTAAACATGCCTGAAATAAATAAATAAATATTCTCAAATTTATAGAGGCACAACAACTCTGGCATGATCAAGATTTATAGGCGATACTTCGGGTTCAATCGTGTGTAGTTGACACGGTCAAGGCACTATAAGTGCAATGAAACGGTGCATGTAGACGGAGAGTATCATATTGTTGCATGTGTCGGGGGAAGTTGAAATATGAGTCTAGTAGACTAGCCGGTATGTAGTTGTGGGCAGTGACTTTATTCAGTGGCGTGTCACCTCCGCCAAGTCACAGTGTTGTTAAACAGATATTTGTGGCTTTATACATGGAGAACGTTCGCCAGGCGAAAACCCACCACGTCCTGCAACACTGCCGTAAAGCATTTTGAACATTAATGCATAATTGGCAAAGCCGCTTGACGACTGATTTCATATTCGGTTGTTCGAAGTCAAATAGCTGCTAATTTACTCTGTTAGCTGTAAAGATAATTTGCTCAGGCCTGCCATAATTGTTGAGGCCGGTTGATAGTGGGAACATCGCGAATAGTCGTCATGTTGTGTGTCCAGGTGAGCAAAACTTCAAATTTTCTGCAGTCTGGATTTTTTCAGCTGTATTATTTATGGGAGTGTGAAGAGGTCTCCAGCTCTCCATACTGAACAATGGTTGTGGTGATTGTAGTTGGGTCCCTTTGGTGTTCAGCCATGCTCCATGTGAGTCCTTGTCGGTTGTTACGTCCATCTTGGGCGAAAACTGTTCCTCAGTCCAATCCCAGATCTCCAAGAAGTTCCGAACCTCGGCGGAAAGGGAAACTGAGGGACAACCGAGAGAAAACCGCAAGAACAGACGTGGCGTTAAACATTGTTAAAGTCTTATGTTACAACGTTCGGACTTGAGACAAAATCGTGTACACTGTGCAACAATGATTATGCTGGAAGTGCCTATTGAATATACTATAGAATCATTAGCCTTATGGGTAGGTTGCCAACGCCTACGTAGAGACAAGAGCGTTGTACCAGTGTGTAATCCACGAAGTATCGGTTTAGTATCAGCCAAAAAATACGTGGGGAGATAGCAAAGTGAGTTAGCATATTGGGGGTGATTGCAGGGTGCATGAACTGCCAGTAGCTAGCGTAATACGATAGGTAGCGCAGAATAAGAAGGTGAAAAATATATAGGTTGCCGCGAGAGAGATCTAAAGAGCAATTGGCGGTAACGCAGCGGAAAGATTGGATGCAGATGTTCTAAAGGAACCAAAGGTTACTGAGACACGGACTGGCACCTAACAAGCACTGGATAATCGCAAATGCATCAGCCTATGACCACTAGCTACTTCTAAACAGAGGTGCCGAATTTCAGATGACCGACAAATGGAGGCGCTAGGAAAGACTATCAGTGGCCAGATATAGCCATTCCAATAAGGCGCTTGGTCACTAGTGTATGCCTACAGGGTCACATTTTGCATCAGCAAGCCAGCGTAGGTAAGTGATACAGACTTTCCAGGAGAATGTATGATGGAGAGATAAGGAGTGTATCTAGCAAACTCAAGATCTGCGCAGAAGGGTATGAAGCCCCCGGCGAATCGCTGCAGTGGTGAGGAAGATAAGAAGAGCGACAGATAGTGGCGCTAGAAGAGAATACAAGTGGCCAGCAAAGGCATTCGGATTAAGCCTTCTAATTACCAGTGGATACCTACAGTGACAGAAGACGTCAACAAACAAGCGGTGGATAATGCAAACAATTCAAGAGAGTAAGTGTTAGAGAGACAAGTAGTGGCTCCTGGCGCAATGATCTATGCTACCTACAAGGACTCGCTGCAGCTGAAAGGTGGTGACGTAGGTAATACGAAGAAATGATAATGGTACTAAGCGAGAAAGAGTATCGACGGCTAGCAAGGCAACGGGATGAAGCCTTCTAGTTGCT